CCCAACATCGTAGTAATTGTATTATGGAACATGATGGTTCGAACGAATATGGAATTACAATACCTGCTATGGTTACTATTGTATGCTTTTAAATGGATGTACCACATGTTTGGCACAGGATAGTTGCTAATCTAGAGATGGATAGTTATAATTAATCTGATATTGGAAGCATAATTGTATAACTAAGTTAATCGCTTTTATGCAAAATGTTGTCAAGCTATCCCCACTTATACAGCCTTACATCATCCTTAGAGTCATTTTATTTCTGGTTTATGACGGGTAAGTCTAGCTGAGTAACTTCTCGTACTCAGGGTTTTATTTCCCATTGTTGCAGATGGCACTGTGTATCATGGTTATTGCAAGAGTTGCTTCTATCCCGCTGTGGATGAGGAGTGAGCCTTGGGCAGGCTTCTTTATTAATCTTTCTACATGCTTTTGTGGACCGTGATCGTATTTCGGCACTGTACTAAACTATGTTGGAAACTTTACTTTCAAACTTAATTTGCTTTCGCTTTTATCTATCAAACTCGGTTTGTAATAACCGGTTTCATACTCTGATGATGAAAATGTATCTGTGAACTTTATGTAATATGTGACATGTATGTTGAATCATGTGTACGATTTTGGTTGTTTGTGGATCGTTTATCGAGACCCGTCGTGGTACTCGACAGACTACCGGATTTATATGGGCTCAAGTATGACAGTGCGACCGTTTGCGGGCCGCCATTGTACTTGTGTTCTTATAAATTGGTCGATTCTGCGACACCAGATGCTTGGCGCCACTTCATCCACCATGCTTTGAATCTATGGCTAACATCTTCATCAATATCCCGTCTCTCTATAGTATTGATCATAAATATCGAAAGGTACCCTTCCTAGGCACTACTTGACCTTCTAAACTAATATCTTCCTCCTCTCGAGTAGTAGTACCGAAGTCACATCTCATATACTTAGTTTTACTTCTACTGAGTCTAAAACCTTTGGACTCCAAAGTCTCCCGCCATAACTGCAGTTTCTGATTCACTCCTGTCCGGCTTTCATCAACTGGCACTACATCGTCCGCGAAAAGTATACACCAAGGGATGTCCCCTTGTATGTCTCTTGTAACCTCATCCATCACTAAGGCAAACAGATAAGGGCTCAAAGCTGACCCTTGATGTAGTCCTATCCTAATCGGAAAGTCATCCGTATCTCCATCACTTGTTCGAACACTAGTCACAACATTGTTGTACATGTCCTTAATGAGCTCGACGTATTTCGTTGGGACTTTATGTTTGTCCAAAGCCCACCACATAACATTCCTTGGTATTTTATCATAAGCCTTCTCCAAGTCAATAAAAAACATATGTAGGTCCTTCTTCTTCTCCCTATACCGCTTTATAACTTGTCTTATTAAGAAAATGGCTTCCATGGTTGACCTTCCGGGCATGAAACCAAATTGGTTCATAGAGACCCGCGTTATTGCTCTCAAGCGATGCTCGATAACTTCTTGAGGAGCTCACTGTTGAACTTTTTTCTGAGGTACATACTATATAAACATGAAATTGTTTTATATTATAGACTTCATATTGATCTTGGAAATTTGTTTTTGTCCACTACAGGGGCCTAACTATGAAGTGGAGATGAAAGGAAAGCATCAATCAGATGGACCGATCAGCTAAGATTTCAGAACACCTTAACATAGTCAAAATCAAGTGTCAGATTGTTGATGAAAGTGTTCTCAATGTTTTGGAGCTCCTATGCACCTTTGGCATATGTAAGCTAACTTGCAACTTTCCGCTTCTTAAATGTTCACTTAGAATTATTGACAAAGGAGCACCCTGCCCTTCATAGAAATTTAGTTGGCTGATAAAATCAGAAATTTATACATGGAGTTATCGAAGTTGAACTCTATTGCATAGACATTGGGATATATTAAGTAGACTTCTATAATAGTTCGAACTGTTTGAGCTGTTAATTAGTTTTGACAAAAGATGACCTAACTTGTTTGTTGGGACCATATATTTGGCTTGCTTTTTAGTACTGAATAATAACACAGATATCAACATTTAATTTTTCTAAGCAATCACAAACTGTATTGACATATTATCCTGCAGCCTCCCCATTTTCTTGAATGCTCCTTAGGTATGATCGGTTATACACCTTTGTGATTGAGCAGCTCTAACTCAATTCTTTACACAATCTCATTCATGCATTTGATTATCCATGAAACTATTGCTTCTCCATACTTTTGTAGTTTTGTTGATTAAGCATACATTTACTCACCTCCTACATGTATCAACTTATTCATATGTGTCTCAATCATTGCTTATATATCTTTATGGTGGTGCCTCATTATTCAATCTCTGTTTATTTATGGAAGTATGCTCATAGTGTATATATCACTAATAGTGTTCTCTGATAATATAGTAATGTGTCAGATCTATTTTTCCTATTTAAGTTTTATTTCAGTTTCCTTCGGCAATTGATTTACCATCCTTCAAGAGGGTAGAAACATGTATCCCCACATGTTTTCTGTTTTGATTTGTCTTTGTACTTTCCAAGGATTGCAGTTTACACAGATATTAGAATAACACATGTCCTCTTTTTTTATTCTCTTTACCCGTCATATTTCTTGGACCTAAAAAACAAGCATAAAAATATTCTCTCTTTTGAACTTCAATCTTTCAGTGTTTAGAAAACATGTGTGCTCTGCATTTCTTCTTAAAGGGTAGTTTACCTTGGTGTATTATAGTTCAAAGTTGAAATTGTTGTAGTTCATCATGGTTAGAAAACTATGTGTTAAACAATTAGTCATTGTTTTGATCCATTGTAAGTTAATTGAGCATGTCAATCAGATTGGGCAGAATGTTGGTCAAATGAATTTCCTATTCAGGGAAATGTGTTCCTGTAGTTTGAAGATTCTGTCTAGTAACTGAATTTCTGTTTTTATAGAGAACAATCTAACAGTGGGGGCCTTCTCTGTTGTATTTCCGGTAAAAAAAGAACTCTGAATTCAATTTGCCTTCCATTTTTGTACAGGTTTTGGTTTCTGAAATGAGCCTCTAGGAACATTTGAGGTATCAAGGAATCTACTATCTTACATTGTTAGGAAGTGCAAGGCTAAAGTTCTCAGCAACAAAGTTGCCACCCTTACAGAGGTTATAGGGCGTGTTATGTTCAGTCATAGACTTCTAGTTACATGAATGTGCAAAAATGGCAGCACAAATTGTTTGGAACTTTAAATATCTAGTTGTATCTAGCATATCATGTCACTGTTATTTCTTCACTGAGATCATGAGGGTTTGTTTGACAATCTGGACCAATTAATGCCCCATTAGCATATGTACTTTGGTTTAGGGTTGTGCTTCTAAGGTGACCTCTCTTGTAGCATAATCTGTTCATCTCTCTATGTTGTTGCATGCAATGGTTCGATGGGACATCTGGTTGCAAGATTGGAAAAGAAAAGGGTGACATGTCTAATTTATCATTTGCCAAATTTATTTCCTGAAAGCTTTGCACTCTATGCAAGTAATTCTTTACTATCACATGTTAATTGCATCAAAATTTAAAGAAACCAGAGCGGTAAATAGTGGTGGTCTATGGACTACTATGGTAGGCTGGTAGCCTCCTGGCAGAGTAGAAAACACAATGGCTATAGTAAGATGTTGGACTGGCTCAGGTTTGTGAAAATCGAAGCCAACAATGGCACACTGCATTAGAGGATAGCATTACGAAAACAGAGCAGAAGAATTTGCCAGGAATACTTCAAAAAAAGATTTGGAATATGTAGAAAAGATGTATTTCTAGCTCCAGCCCCTGAGGCACGGTTAGGTAGCATGATTTTTATCAAATTACTTGGCAGTCGATACAACACATCTTGTAGTGGCATGTATTGGCAGGAATTCCAAAACAATGTCTACAGTACAAGTGTATACCAACAACGAATCACGTACTTATAATAATGGGAACGTGTTATTTTTTTTCTGCAATAAAGTGGTCGTTTTTCTAGTTTCTTTTTTAAATGCCCGTGTGGTTGCACGACATAATATAATAGTTGGCCGGATAAAGCTCAAAATAACACAACACATCTCTATGATCTATTTCTTTTTGCACTACTTAGCATTGATATTTTCAACGCTTTCTTAAACAAGACCAAAGTAACTAAGAAAGTTCAACCATGACAACATTTAATTCAAGTATTCATTCCATTAAAATAGTCATGACAAAAACTACACCACACTAAGTTGCAAATTATCTTGTAGCATGCTGAACATAACATCAAATGTCATCTATGTATCACGTATAATGCTCGTCTCTTTTACAAAGTTTTCTTATTTTTATTTTTCTTATAAGAAAGAACCACATAAAAGAACACAAAACTAGTGTTTTACAAGAACACAACACAAACTCCCCCTCAAATTGACCATTGTCTCAAAGAGTAAGCAATATTCAAATCAAGAATAATTCTCCCCATATAAGAAAAAGAAAGGAAATTTTACCCAAAAAAATCTGTATGCTCCCCTTAACAAATGAAACCAAGAGAGACATGATGATAATATGATATACATGACCATGACACCATATATACAGATCAATGCACTTTGTTTTTGCCGATCCCAACTTACACTATAACTTGCACTTGGACGTGCTCACGTGCATATATTTTAGACATAATTAATATAGAAAAAATTGAAAGAATGGGGAAGAAAAATCTGCACATAGATCAAGAACCTACGCAAGAAATGTTCCAGCAAATTGGGAATGGATCAAAGATAGGTGAAATGAGTATAGTGCCCGAAGCAATCCCTTAGTTACTGACCACTGACCCCTTCCTGTATGTATGGCTGTATCTGTAGTTCTGCATCTGCACTCTGCAGCCGTTCGTTCTGTCCTCCAAGCCGTGGAATGCCTATCGAGAGGAGCTGAGCTACCTGAAGTCCTGAATCCTTTCTCTTCTCCATCCAAACTCTAAAAATTCAGAAAGGAGGAGAGCTCGGATCCACCTCATGTTGCACGATTCATGCCCTGAACGAGTTGTTGGAGCTGTCCATGGACCTGAGATCCTTGTACATCCCCGGCACCAGCTCCTGCTCCATCGTCCCCGCTCGTCTCCGCTTCCTCCCCTCCCACATCTGGTACCTGATGCAAGCTCCGGCCGCGGCCAGGCCAACCAGGACCAGCGACAGCGCCGCCGTCGCTGCGGCGACGCCCGGCGACATGCCCTTCCGTCGTGCAGGCGACGACTTCCTGACCTTGAAGTAGCCCACCTTCTGGTCGTCGGCCTCGTACACCAGCGTCTCCACGGGGAAGTCGATGAGGTAGCAGTACCCGCTGGCGCCGCTGTGCACCGCGGCCCAGCAGCTGCAGTTGCCCGCGCACGCCGCCTCGCACTCCGCCGCCGTCCTGTTCGTCTCGAACGGCAGCTCCTCCTTGTACGCCACGGACACCCGCTTCCGCCGCACCACGTCGAATCCCAGCTGCTGTCCGCTGCCGGCGCACAGGTCGGCGGTCTCCTCGGCGTGGCACGACGGTGCGTCGGCGGCGGCGGGGGCGCTCGTGCTGTTGTCGTCGAGGCACTGGCACTCGGCCTTCCCGGGGACGCACAGGCCGTACGCGCCGCACGGCGTCGGCAGCTCGCACCGCTCCGAGATGGCCCTGTAGTCCGACGTCCACGCCTTGGATCCGCTGGTCCAGTAGTACGCGCGGAGGTTGCCGTCGTCTTCGAGCGTCATCCGCCGGAAGGCGCCTGTGAGGTTGTCCACGAACGTGTCGAACGAGAGCACGTCGACTCTCCGGTCGCCGCCCTCGAGGTACAGGCCGAAGAACCCGCGGGAGTCGAGGCGGCCGTAGACCGGCGGCTCCGTGACGCTCTCCGGCTGCGCCTCGAGCGCCGTGTGCCGCCAGTACGTCGTCGGCGTCGTCCGGACGCCGTAGAACTCCATGTGCAGCGCCATGTACGACTTCCCGAGCCGCAGCGCAAACCGGCGGTTCGCGGAGACGAGCGGCGGCGAGGAGCTGGTGAAGTTCTGCCCAAGGACGAGCGTGTCGGATGGGTGGCGGAAACTCTCCCACTCCGGCACCGTCTTCTCGTACCGCCGCACGACGAGGTTGGAGGAGTCGAGCAGCACCACGACGTCGCCGACGGTGTCGACCGTCTGCCACAGCACGCCGTCGTCGTGGCCGGTGAGGACCAGGCTGCAGTCGTCGAACGTGAGCGTGGCCAGGCGCGACCAGTCCCCGAGGCGGGCCGGCGTGGCGCGCCAGACGGGGAAGGAGGACGGGAGGTGGACCACGGCGAGGTCCAGCGACGCCGCGCCCACGCGGAGGAAGCCCAACGCGAAGGCGCCGCTGGGCGCGTACAGCACGGGCTCGAACGGCACCGCCGCGCCCGCCGCGTGCGCCGCGGTGAAGCCGTTGGATAGCTGCGTCGTGAGCTCTTCTCCCTTGGTGGTGGTGCCGTTGACCATGAGCACCGTCGATGCGACGCAGAGCATGACGATGGCAGCGGCGGCGGCGATCGCCGGATCACGCTTGCCTCGCCTCATTACAGAGTGCAGACAAAGGACGCGATGGAGGTCAAATGTTTGGGATCGGGACAGAGAGTATTGCACGCTGCAAACTAGGAGTAGTACATTTTTGGCATAGGCATTTTGGGGAAGGTCAACTGTGTGCACGCAGGCAATGGATCCCTGCACGTCCAATTCCAATATAATAAAAGGATTCAGATGCATGAATGAACAAAAAACTTTGCAATGTTTGCAAGTTGTAAGTTGCAACTAGTGGCAACAAAGTGCGTAGTGGTGGTATGATTGTGAACTGGCAAAAGGTCAACTAACTTTTGCCTTGCAAAAGTCAATCAACTGGTTTTCTTCTAATTAACTTCTATCTTTTTTTTTTGTCTTGAATCCTGAAGTGATATTGCTATCTTCGTGGCGGTCTCTGATTTCCTGAGACGCAGAACTGGCAACTGTTCAGGTGTCACAATCATTGAGTTCGTCAGGTCAGCAGATGTTGCCAGCCGGTGAATGAAACACTCGTGTTGTACGGGCAGCGGGCGTTTACTTGATTAATTTAGGCCTTCCTAAAGCTTACTCCCTATTTCATCGAAGGCTTGATATATGCATGAAGTATAAAATATAGACTAAAAAATAACTAATTGTACAATTTGTGATACGAATCTTTTAAGCCTAATAATTCCCGATTTGACAATACGGTGCTATAGTAACACATGTGCTAATGATAAATTAATTAGGCTTAATAAATTCGTCTCTTAGATTACTAACGGATTCTGTAATTTATATTTTTATTAATATTCGAACACCCCATATGACACCCATTATGACATCCGATATGATGGTTCAAAACTTTACATCCTAAATTTAAACGAGACCTAGCTTGGTTGAGGATGCCCACAGCTTGCGCGACCTGGGCGTTGACTTTGAAGGGATGTGATGGAGCTGAAAGAATGTGTATTGTTTTTATTCTTATCTATTTTGACACCAAATGCTAACAGTCCCCCTGACATTGGGATCTTGCTAGCTAGACTGAACAAAAATCATAAACAGACTAGCTTCTGAGAACGATCTAATGTCATTATCGCGTGCTTATCTATTTTTCAGTCGAAATCTTAATACAGACTACACTACTGGATTCAGGTTCTTTGCCGAGTGCCTGAGGCACTCGGCAAAGGCTATATTGTACTCGGCAAAGCCTTTGCCGAGTGCGGCACTCGACAAAACACACACGGCAAAAAATTGATCGGCAAAGCACTCTTTGCCGAGTGTATTTTATCGGGCATTCGGCAAAGGCTTTGCCGAGTGCCCCGGAAACACTCGGCAAGAAAAAGCCAAATCGCACCGGCGCCCGGTCCCGTTAGCGGTCACTTTGCCGAAGTGTCAACCTTGCCGGCACTCGGCAAAGATTTTTTTAAATTTTTTAAAACTTTCTTTTTGCCGAAAGTGCCAACCCGTGAGGCACTCGGCAAAGAGCTTTTATTTTTTTTTGAAAATTTTCTTTGCCGAGTGCCAAACCTCCAGGCACTCGGCAAATATTTTTTATTTTTTTTGAAAAATTCTTTGCCGAGCGTCAACCCGGAAGGCACTCGGCAAAGAGCTTTTATTTTTTTTGAAAATTTTCTTTGCCGAGTGCCAAACCTCCAGGCACTCGGCAAATATTTTTTATTTTTTTTTGAAAAATTCTTTGCCGAGCGTCAACTTGGAAGGCACTCGGCAAAGAGCTTTTATTTTTTTTGGAAATTTTCTTTGCCGAGTGCCACCATTCCAGGCACTCGGCAAAGATTTTTTTTAAACTCTTTGCCGAGTGCCAACACGGCAGGCACTCGGCAAAGTTTAATTTTTTTTAAATTTCTTTACCGAGTGTTAGAGTCACAGCACTCGGCAAAGCTGGAAAATCTATTTTCTGGTCGCCCATTTTGCCAGCTTTGCCGAGCGTTGTGACCATTGCGCTCGGCAAAGGGGTCCTTTGCCGAGTGCAACACTCGGCAAAGTGACCCAAAACGACAAATATTTTTTTTTGCATTCCATCATGACAAATACATTCATACAAACATATATCACATATATATCTCATCCATCACATATATATCTCATCCATCGCATATATATCTCATCCATCACATATATATCTCATCCATCCACACATCCATCCGCCCATATCACATCCATCACAATATATAATAATAAGTGCTCAAGCCCATCCAAATAAGTTTACAAGTCCATCAAAGTCCACAAGTGCATCACAAGTCCATCACCAAGTGAACAACAAATGTAAAAAATACAACATGCACTCATCTCGGCCACTGCGACTGTGGTGAAGGCCCAGATGCATCATTCGTAGGTGCATGAGGTGGATTATTTGAACCACCGTCAGATGGAGACTGCACAAAGGAGAAAAGATTGCATGTGAGACAAGATTATTTTGATAGCTAATCTAGGATGATAGAGGCCATACAAGCAAAGCACAAGTGAAAGTAAAAAACTTTGATACTCATAGGAGTAGCTGCAGCTGCAGGACGCGGAGGTGGAACCAACAACCCAGGTGGCAGAGATAAGCCCATACGTTGCCCAAGCCCTTGTAGGAAATCCGTAATGTCCATCAGCCTCTGCGCTGGGCTCGCGCTTCCGCCCGCTCGGCCTCAAGCTGGGCCCCAGCTCCCGATGTTCCTTCATTTCTTGTTCGGTAAGGCCTGCAATATTTCACTCCAATGTTTCAGTAATGCAAAGCTAATTAAGGTGTGTAAAGATCAATGTATGACGAGTAAAACAGGAATAACCTCGAGTGCGTCGACCCGGTGCTGTGCAGCGGTTGGCCGTGTGCGAATGGCCGGGCTCTCGCTCGTGCTCCGTGCTCGGATCTGGGAGAGAGAGGGAGTAGAGGCCGTGTCGATGACGCCGTCGCCAAGCTAGAACCGTCCATGCTTCTTGCCTTGCCCCGCCCTCATGACGGCCTCTCCATCGAAGTCCTGGGTGCTCGGATCATGGTCTGCCCCATGGAGCGACCTCGCCACCTCAGTGTACTCACTGATGCGGGAGTGGACGCTCGAGTTCGTGTATGCCTCGGGCGGGTCCTCCAGGTTGAAGGAGACGTCGGACGTCACCTTACCCTTGTGGGCCATACACCATGCCTAGAAGTCCGAGCAAGCCTGGCCACTATGTGACGCCGACTGCGAGAAAGACAGCACGATGATTAGAAATCAGACAGAACTGAGCGTAACAATAGATAAATCAATTCGCGTACCCATGCTTGTTTGTATCCGGCAAGGTTGCGGCTGCCTTGATGGTGTGCTGGACCTTGCATCAGTAAACGACGGTCCCAGACATCCCTGTGCATCTTGAGGTACTCCTCCGTGAACCACCTGTCCACCATCATCGCCCAGCACTCGGGATACGCTTGGCACCACCAGGGAATCACCTACACGTCATCAAGTATTGGACATATAAGAAGATCAAATTAAACCAACTTAATCTCAAATCGAATCAATGTTGATGTTCTTCATTTACCTCAAGGTCTTTGCTCCCGGTCATTTGCATCTCTCTTGCATCTTTCTTGGTTTCCTCTCTCCAAGCTTGACCCGTAGTAGGTTACGATGGCTGGATGCGCGCCTTGTGATGCATGTCGGTGACGAGTTTTTTCTGAGGCTTTGGTAGTCGCTGCTCCATACGGCCTCAAATCTCTCCTCGTGATCTCGTAATAAGTCTGCATACAAAAGCGATGTATCGATTCATTATTTCAAGAAAAGTCTAATGAATGCGACGTATTGAGCAATGTTGTGCAAGGGAGACTTACCCAAAACTCTGCCTTCACCCGAGCCGCCTTGTTGGGGTACTCCGCATCGGAGGTGACGGCGTAGTGGTCAAACGAGTAGGCCGGCTCCGTCTTCGCGCGCGTGCGTGACAATGCCGGGAAGTGCTTGTTGCCATGAAGACCCAGGATGCCGTTGACTAGCCGTGCGCTACCACCCGACACAACCACCCAGTTCCTGCACAAGTAATTAAGAAAAATTATTAGTTTTTTTCATCATATCATATGAAGTAGTGGTGATAACATATACAATTACTTACTTTTGTCCTTCGGGGCGAATCACTGGGCGTTGGTGAGGAAGCGGAACCTGTGGGAGGCTCACGGGACCTCGCAAGTAGACACTCGAAGAGGAGTTGGAGGAAGCGGAACCCATGCCTGCCGCCTCCCCCCTCCTCCTCCTCCTCCACCTCCTCCTCCTCCTCCTCCTCCGTCTGCCGAACCAACTCCTCGTCTGACTCGTCCACGGGCGCCACCTCCTCCTGTGGCTGGCGGTCCTCCTCACGTGGCGTGGGAGGAGACGGCCCCCTCCTGCGGCTAGCGGTCCTCCTCCTCCTATTTGATCCCTCTGCCGCCCCCTCCGCCACCTCCTGCGACCGGCGTGGTCTTTGGTAAATCGAGTTCACAGACCTATGACGATCGCCCGCCATCTTTGCTCAATCACCTACAATAAAAAAGAAAAACAAGACGTAATTAGAAATAGGTGCAAAAATAAATAAAACATAATTACAAAAAACATAGTATTACATGTATTAGAAATATATGCAAAAATGAACAAAACATAATTACAAAAAACATAGTATTACATGTATTAGAAATAATCTTCATGATTGAAATTAGCTGGATCATAGGTCTCGTCATCACTATCAACATTGTCCAACTCATCAACACTATCCGAAGGAGGAATGTTGTCTTCATTGTCATTGCCGAAATGTAATCGCTCAAGCATTTGTATGTCCTTCAGATTTCGCACCTCGTCTCCAGCGTCCTCGTCATCATCCCTTTCATTATCTACTTCCATTCCTATCTCTTCGGTTAAGTCTATGTCAAACCTCCCTTGTAGCCCCTCTTCTTGATAGAACTCTCCATCATATGTGTTTGGGTTGAAGTTATAATCTTCATCGTTTGGGACAGGTTGTTTACCGTGTGGCGATACCTTGTGCACAATAGACCAACCCTTAAGATGCTCGGCGTCTTTGCACGCGCATGACGTATAATAAACCTGGAC